GTTATAACGAAATGTTGTCGGTTGAAACTGTTGCTGTGGTATTTCCCGACGGTGTAATTTACCTTCACTAATAGCCATATTAACAGCTTTATTTAAATCCGTACGATAACGACGAATAACATCGCATTAAAAGATTAACAGCTGCTAAATGTAATAGTTTATCAGATGGTACTGCGAGAATATCAAGTGGATCATGATCAGTTAACTCTTGTATTTCTTGTTGAAGACGTCCATGTAATTGATACAGTTCTTCAATGGGCTTATTTCGACAATTTGAAAATTGTTCACATAATGTAAACAATTTACTATTGGATAAATAGCCTACTGCCGTTCCACCACATCGTCGACTCAATTCTTTTTGAATTTCTTTCGATTTTTGTTCGTGAATTTCCTGACTCATTTCAATTAGTTTTTCATTACTACATTCAGAATAATATTTTATTGTAGAATCTGTTCGATTGACTTTATCGTCGATATACTGAGGCTTCAATAATTCATTAGGACAACTAGGTTTTCGTTGAACATCCGATTTTAAACGTCTTATTTCATTTTTATCCTCAATACCATCGATGCTTGGTTTTTCATTTAGTGAATGACGTGATCCAAATATATTCGAGACTTTTCGAATATTACATAACCAAAAGGGAGAGTAGAGAGTGTTGTGTCCCCTGTTCAGCACAACTTCATGTAATGGATAGAATTCGATTCGACGGCTAACTTTCTTTTCCAATAAAAATAGCTTAAACTAAGCCAACGTCTACGTGATCATTGTAGGCGAGGGTGTACGTAGTAATGTTGATAATAGTTTTGATCCATACAGAACAAATTTCCTTCGAATTTCTTCATGTTGGCTTCTGCTACCGCCTGTTTCTTTGGTATGGGCAAAAAGCGATCATGGAAAAAGTGCTGTTCATGGCTTGATCTGTAAATGCGTTAGTTTTGAAAAAGTTGTAAATGATGTAACAAATTGTATCAAATATCATTTGGATTTTCATGTTCAAATATTAGAAAAAAGTCTCAATAAAAGATTTTGATATAGTTATAAACAGTATTCCCTTCTCGATCATGTTTAAGAACTCGTCGACAGAATCCTAGTAAAACTGATACTGATAAAAGCAATTACTATGAAGTTACGCATGTTATTAAGAACAGAGATGGACAAGGATTGGGACTGAGTCCGGACTGATAGACTTTTTCACACAGACTGGGACTGAAGGCGTAAGAGACTTGGACTGCACTGGGACTGATTCGGACATAGCCCCTAGTGGACTGGGACTGAGAAAAGGAAACAAAGTTTTTTAACATTCAAAAACATTTTGTTGTTGTCTTTTTTTGTTACTATAGCCATGTAAATAAAAAGTTACTGATAAAAAGAAGAAAACGAATGGAAGTGGAAAACAATGTATGCTGTGGCCGACATTAGTTAGCTTAGCGCACTGGAACTGATTCGGACTTAGCCTCTAGTGGACTGGGGCTGGAAAAATATCGTACTTGTCCACCTCTGACTAAGCGTCGCTCTTCAGCTCTCGTTCCCTCGTCAAACGGTTTAATCAACAAAATAATAACATGTAATATTCTAGATTCAGTGCGATCCGGTGTGGAACAACCTAATGTTTATTAGTATAACGTTTGCTGTGTTTTTCTTGTTTATTTCGTTATCATCTCATGGGTAACATGTAGCATTTTCTTTGTGAAGAAGTTGATCTACAAGATGTTTATTCAACGCCCCAGACTTTCAGTCTCTATTTAATTTAATATTTCAAGAAATGTGTCATAATCATACCTAAAGTCTCAATAAAGGGTGGGCCAGAAGTCCTGACTCGATTTGAATAATAAATTTTTCTATAGTGAAACAAGTGGTTGTAAATTTGTCTCTATGAAGAAAAGATGCAGTAAAAAACGCTCTACAAAATGACGATTGATTGACCCCGTTAGCTCATCTAGTAAGAAACTTATAGGCTTAGAAATGTGCCTCACAAAAAAGAAAAATTAACCGTGGATTCGGTCTATGTGGTGGTGCTTTCAGTAAAAGTCCCATAACTTCATCAAAAC